CATTCAAGAAAATGGATGCAAAAGCTCTAAATAAAATATTAGCCAAACAAACTCAGCACTATATACATAAAAATACATTATAACCATGTTGAGTTTATTCCAAGACTGCAAGATTGGTTAAATATTTGAATTATCTATTACATTAACAATTTAAAGGAAAAATCGTATGATCATGTCAATGGATACAGGAAACCATTAATAAAATTCAACATTAATTTATGTCCAAACTAGGAAACAGAACTTAAACTGGTGAAACGGAAATACCAAAATTGATAGAAACATATACATACATAATGATGAATCCTTAGAAACATACTCTTTAAAAAAAGAAAAAGAAAAAAGAAACTTACTCTTTAAAAACAGGAAAAACTAAAGGATGCCTGTGGACACTTGCTCTTTTCATTGAAGTATTAGAGGTCCTAGTTAGTAAAGTAGGACCAAAAAAAAAAAAAAAAGGAAAAATAAGATCTAAGAACAGAAAAAAAAAGCTATCATCAATTATTATGAGTTGATTACCTATATACAGAAAATCGAAGAGATTCTGAAGACAGATTGTTAATAAGAGAATTGAGCAAGTTTTTCTGGCTGAAAGATCAACACAAAAATCAGTTGCTTTCTTAATACCAGCATAAAATTGATAATACATTTTTTAAAGTTTCCATTTACAATAGCAACAAAAATGAGACACCTAGGAATCAATTTATTTAGAAGATACATAAGACACAGCTACTATCATAAAACTGTATTGAAAGACCTTTTAAAAACCCTACATAGATGGAAGGACATATGTTCTTGAATGGGAAGACTCAATTTCACAAAGATATCAATTGTCCCAAATTAGTCTGTACATTCGGTGTGGGGGGAAAAATATCCCAACCTAGTGTTTCAAGGAAGTTGACAAACTAATGGTAAAATTGATATAAAGGAACCAAGAGGGATTTGAAGTAGATGATAATTTGCCCCATGGGATATAATGATTTATTATAAAGTTATTAACAAAATGTATAACTGGTGAAAGTATGATAAATACCCAGAAACAGACCCAGACATATGAGAAATCTTATATCTGAAAAAGGCATTAAAAACCAGAGGGAGGGGATCCCTGGGTGGCTCAGCAGTTTAGCGCCTGCCTTTAGCCCAGGGCGTGATCCTGGAGTCCTAGGATTGAGTCCCACACTGGGCTGCCTGTGTGGAGCCTGCTTCTCCCTCTGCCTGTGTCTGTGCTTCTCTCTCTCTCTCTCTCTCTGTGTGTGTGTCTCATGAATAAATAAATAAACTTTTTTAAAAAGTCAGAAGGAAAGCACCTGACAACTTGATAAATGGAGCCAGGGCAATTGTTTACATACACACACAAAATCTGTTCCTTATGTACAAAGGTAAATTCCAGATGGATTAAAGATAAATATGAAAAACAAAACCATAATGCTTTTAGGAGAAAATGTTTATGAACCTAGGGTAGAGAAAGATACCTCAATAACAACAAAAAGTATAAACTATAAAGAAATTCTCAAAATCAACTACATTGACATTGCAACTTTAAAAGTGACAAAAAAATAAGTGTCTAGAATAAATAAAGAGTTTCTACAAATCAAGAGGAAAACACAAACATCCCAGTTGAAAATAGGCAAAAGATATGAATGGTCACCTCATGGGAGGGGAAATGACCTGTAAACATATTAAAAGCTTGCTTAGGGCAGCCCGGGTGGCTCAGTGGTTTAGTGCCGCCTTCGGTCCGGGGCCTGATCCGGGGACCTGGGGTCGAGTCCTGCGTCGGGCTCCCTGCGTGGAGCCTGCTTCTCCCTCTGCCTGTGTCTCTGCCTCTCTCTCTCTCTCTCTCTCTCTCTCTCTCTCTCTGTGTGTGTCTCTCATGAATAAATAAATAAAATCTTTAAAAAAAAAAAAGTAAAAGCATGCTTAGCTGCCAAGTACTTAAAGAAACAAAGATGAAAACAACCACAAAAAAATGAGACACCATCTCACTCTCCATCGGACCGGCAAGAACCGATGTCTGTCAAGACCAAATATTGGCAAAGTTATGGAGCAGCAGAAACACTCCTGCTGCTGGTGGGTGTGTACATCATCGTAGTCATGACGGAAAGCAGAATAGTGTCCCCCCAAATGTCCACAACCTGTGGAACTTAATCCCCACAACCAGTGGACGTGTTGCGTTTCACTGCATTGAAAATGGACTTAAGGTTGCTACATACAAAACGGAGATAATCCTAGATTACACACGTGGGCCCAGTGTGATCACAAGGGTCTTAAAAGCGGAAGAGGGAGGCAGAGGGGAGAATCAGAGGAGGAGACGTGATGCTAACGGCAGAGTCGGAGAGACGCTCGCTCTGTTGTCGACTTTGACGCTGGAGGAAAGGAACTCTTGAGAGTTTTTGGTGATTTCTTACGGCAGTTCTAGAAAACTAATACACAACCACACTGCAAAGAAACTTCGGAAGACATAGGAACTTAACTCTGAGGGACATAACCACTGCTTTGCTACCTGATTATGTGGTCCGGGGACCACCAGCATCACCTGAGAGCTTAGTAGGAATGCAAGATTCTCAAGCCCAAACCCTGAATCTACTGGATGAGCGTCTATGGTTTAACAAGATAGGATCCTAGGTGATTTCTAAGCATGTAAAGCCCAGAGGCAGTGCCCTAGGGAAGATCTCCCATTCCTGAGTCAAGAAATAGCTATAAAAATTACAGCACTGTTGGTAAAAGCTAAGCATCATCATCATCATCATCATCATCATCATCATCATCATCATGTCTTTCAACCGTAGAGTGTATGAATAAATTGTTGCCTGCTTACACGATAGAATGCCATACAACTGTGAGAATAAGCGATGGAGAGCTTCCTGGAGCTAAAACTTCAACACAGTGCTGAATGTAAAAAAAATTTAAATATTGCAAAGACATTTGTATAGTATGAATACCATTGACAAAAAAATTTAAAGCCTGCAAAACAACACTATAAAATGTTTGTTGGTCTATACACGTGCAACTGAAATGTAAAAAAAAAAAAAAAACATTCATGAAGATGATAAATACCGACTTTAGGATGGTGGTTGCCCAAGGGGAGAAAAAGGAAATGAGTGGGATAGGAAGTGATTCTGGCACCACGTGGCTTTGGTGGGCACGACCTTATTCTTTATTGCCTACATTTGCCTAATGGCTTCAAATATTCCATAATTTAAAAAAATATTAGTTCATACATGGAATTTATAGGATTTCTCTTTTTTCTCTGAATTTACAGGATTTCTATACCAAAGTGTCTTCGTCAGTTTCTAACGCAGAAAAAATTTTTATGCATTTATTTTTGCATCATGTGATCAAAATGCAAGTCAGCTGAAAATGACTAATCTGGAGTTTTTCCTTCAAGGCTCTCAGGGTATTTAATGGGTATTATATCAAAAGCCTTACACCAGTTTCCTGTCTTCAATTGCAAAGAGAGTCTGATTTATCATGAACTTTTTTAGAGATTGATCAGTATGTCTACATAATTAAGTTCTAAGATCTGTTGTACCCTGTACAGACTGGGCATTACATTAAAAATTCCTGATCCTTTAAGGAAAAGCTCTTGGTTCAAAGAGATAGAAAACAAAATCAAGCAATATTTTGTGATGGACTAGACATTTTTTTAAAAGAAAACCCTGAATGTTTCTAATACTTCGCATTCCATGGGTATATGGAAATCTGCAGGAGACTAATTCTGTGAACCACGTGCGGGAAAAGCAATTCTCATTATGTATCATCACCCACACTCATTCAATCTGATCCAGAGTTACCCTTCTATTATTTTTAGGCCCGGATATTCTGAAAATGGTAGCCTTTTTCTTCTGTTCTCTCTCTCTGTCTCTTTTTTTATTTTATTTATTTATTCATAAGAGACACAGAGAGAGAGAGAGAGAGAAAGGCAGAGGGAGAAGTAGGCTCCACGCAGGGAGCCCGATGCGGGACTCGATTCCGGGTCTCCAGGATCACGCCCTGGGCTGAGGGTGGCCCTAAACCGCTGAGCCACCCGGGCTGCCCCTTTTGTTCTATTCTCCTATCAAGTGTCCTTTATATATGGACATGTCCCCCCTGTTCGAGAAAGGTCACATATGTGTAATCACTGCTGCTCAGTTGATTCCTCCTGTGTCTTTCGTCTATATACGAAGCCAAATTGAAAGTAATAGACGCACAAACTTTTTTTGTTGTTGTTCAAGAAATCCCTAGAAACCAATTCTCCTGAGACATTTAAGTACTTGCGAGGATTTTGAGGAAAAAAATCCATACCATAAAGTGATAAGCAGATGTTTCCCATATGCTGTTTGCCGATAAGTCCCTGTAGCTTATGCAATATCTCTTCTTGAGACTTTGCCATCTTAAACCCAGTTGTCCATACATGTCTTTGAGGCAAATCAAGTGTGACAAACAAGCGGACTCTCAACTTCCCTTGAAAATAGTACAGAAATTGGGGATTTAAATTTGCATTGCTACTTTTTTTTGTAACTATTCATAAAAATAAGGCTGCATTTCCACATGTCAGCTGTCTGAACCAGGCCTCCATATCTCTCAGGAACGTGAAAACATTCCTCTGCGCCTTTTTTTTCTTTTTTCTTTTCTTTTGGTTCCGTTTCATGCTTATGACACTGCATAGTTTTCATTTAAACAGCATCCAAATGTTGTTTCTCGTCAGGAATTCTTTATCAGAACTGTTTCCTTCTTCAGGGTGTGGTGTGGTTACTGTCAAGTGTTCCTCTGTCCCCGTGGAGCATTAGTCAGGAAAACTTTTTCATTAGATAATAAATAAATATGATAGTCCCTTTTATGGAATCCGTTTGAGTCCCGCTGTAGTGATTTTTCAAAATAAGATACTGTGTTATTTTTAGCAGAAGGCTTGGCCATCACTCCACGCTGTTTAATGAGTAAGTGCAAGGGTTATTGCATTGACAGTGAACGTGTTTCTACTGCTTGTGAGCTAATGCTCGTCATTCCTGGTTTTGTTCCCTCAACAGGCAATGCCATGCTGTTGAGGGTGTTACCTGTCGTGTATGAAAAGCAGCCTCAGCCGATCAACAGACACCTGATGGAACTCCTGGCCTTGATGCCTCAGCTGGAGCAACCAGAGCAGTACCATCTCCTACGGCTTTTGCACGTAGCTGCGAAGAGAAAGCAGCCCGAGGTAAAGAGTACATCACATGCATGACGGTCCGCACAACCAGGCAGGAGAACAGCAGGTGCGCTTTGGGTTTCCTCCCTCGTGGGCCTAAACACACTCGCTTTTATGTGAAAGCACTCATTCACTTTTCCTAGAACCGTGAAAGCGAGGAGGGGATGGCATTGTGGTCCCCAGAGAAGCGGAGCCGATAGGATGGACACATAGATCGTGAGCATCTCATTTTTGAATTATGCTTATGCACACATGCTTACGTGATCATCAAGCTGAGAAGACCCACAAGATGCCATTTGTAAGCTGAGACCCAGGGAACACGGGGTATAATTCCCGCCTGAGTCCGAAGGCCTGAGGATGAGGGAGATCAATGGCGTGAGCTTTGGTCCAAGCGTGAAAGCTTCAGAACCGGAGGGCTGATGGTGTAAGCCACAGCCCAGAGGCAGGAGCGGACCAGTGTCCCCGCTCAGCCAGTCTCGTTCAGGCCCTGAGCAGCTTAGACGAGGCCCACCCACCCTGGGGAGGGCAATCTGCTTTACCCATTCTACCAATTTACATGCCAGTCTCATCTGGAAACACTCTCACAAACACACCCAGAATAGTGTTCAAGCAAATGTGTGGGCGCTCAATGACCCAGTGAGGTCGACACATAAAATTAACCATAACAGGTACAGTACTGAAAACAGAACAAAGCTAAAACCTGTCACTATGGTGGAAAAGCTTTAATTGAAGTTGAGTGTGGCCATGAGGCGCAGGAATCTGTGGTTTCTGGCCCGAGGAAATGAGCTGCACGTGGGGAAAGCAGCCTAGGGTGAGAGCAAAGGCTCGTTTTCTAGATAGCAAGTTGTTGGTTTTTTGGGATCAAATAAAAGATTATAATTATTAGGATTATTGTGATTATCCGTCACAGAACATCCAACTGAGTGCTGGTTTAAATAATAAAAAGGAATTTACTAGCTAATGTGATGGGGAAAAAAATACCTTCAGGTGAGGTGGTCGATCCCGGAGCTCAAATAATACGAACCGAACACTTTTCCTACTCTCTATTTCTCGGATTTGGTTTCTGGCGTTGGCTTCCATTTTCTGCAAGCTTTCTCCTCGTGGGCTCCAAACCGGTCCAAGGGGCTCTCTAGGCACCACGCCTCTTCTACCTCTACCACCAGCATCCAAACAAAAGTCCTGAGGTTCTGTGTTTAGGACACACACCGTCTGCCTGGTGCTTCTGCTGACTCCCGAGATACTCAGAGAGAGACTCGAGGCCGCCAGGAAGGGAGAGTAGGAATGGATCATGGAAGGAGTGAAGGATTAAAGGTCAGCCCAAGGTTCTATCGACCGTGGTTGTAACTCCGCTTCATTGCCTGATAAAGTCAGTACCCACCACTTAAAAAAAATCAGTGAACGTGAAGGTGAGTACTGGAACATTTGAAGTCAACCCTGGAACCATGCAGAGAAAAGCAGGCGAGAAGGGTTGTATGCACAATTAACCGCGGTAGGCTGCCGTGGCTGCAAGGGCCCGACGGTAGGAATGACTTCTTATCTCCTTCTGTATCGCAGACGTTGGCGGTAGCTCTCTGTGAGCAGTCACAAAACCAAACAGAATAAACCAGGGTGATTGCAAATGGTAGAAGCAGAAGGTAGGGCAGTGAGTTCTACCTTAGGGAGAAACAAGTGTCAAGAAGATTCACAACAGAAGTGGCATCAGGGCCAGACCTTGAAGAGCGGGAGGGTTTGTTCCAGGTGGAGCATGGGGCACAGGGCCTTGAGGAGCAGAGACAGGGCTGGGGGTCCTGGACACTGGAGAGAGACCTGGCCCTACCCCTAGAGATCTCAATTCAGGAGGCCTGGGAAGGGGCCCCAGACTCTGCCTCTTTACAGGTTCTCAGGTGACACTTTTCCTGCTGCTTCAGGGACCACACAATAGCTAGGCCAGAGGCTGGGCAGGGAACTGGGGACAGCTGTTACCTGATGTGCGTGAGCTTTTGCTTTTGCCCTTAGGGCAGCGTATCGTCATTATTTTTGCATGCCTGTCTTTCCCGGGGCACACTGGACACCTTGAGGGGCATGGGAGCTGTGTCTGCGTATTTACATGCTCTCCCTACTGTAGTGCTGGACACGCAGTAGGAGTTCAATGAAGAGTTGTTGAATTCAAAAATGAGTCAATAACCAGAAGAGACCAAAGATATCGGAGACCATGGGGGACTGGGGAAAAGATGTGTCGTGGGCTCCAAAGGGTGTAAAGTGGCCCCACAGGACCAAGATCTAGAGAAGTCAAGGAGCCTGGAGATCGGGACTGACCTTAGATTTGGCAACTGGGGACTATTAAATTTAATGACAAGAGATTGAAGATGTGCAACAAAGTACTAGCTAGAATCAGATGCTAGTAGAAGTTAGAGAATAAATTCCAGAGCGTAAATGGCGGAATCTGTTTGGGAAAGAATTAAGGACAGAAAGTTTGAGCAAAACTGTAGCAGAGTTTGGACAAGGAGTAGAGTTGAAGGATCGTTGGATCATCTAGATGGAGGCTGGGAGTGAAGGGTGCGGAAGGAGTGGGATGTTTGTTTTCCATCCCTGCTGAAACAAATGACCACAAACCTGGTGGTTTAAGATAGTACCAATCTGTTATCCTCCAGTTCTTGAGATGGGAAGTCCACAATGGGTCAGCAGGGCTGCATTCCTTCCGGAGGTGCTGGGGGAGACACTGGTTCCTTGCCCTTTTCCCTGCCTGCCCAGCTCAGCTCCTGTCCTGCCTCCCTCTCACCTCTGCTTTTCTCATCACGTCTCCTTCTCTGACTCTGAGCCTCCTCCCTCCCTCCTCTAAGGCCCCTTGGTGCCATCCAGAAGATCCAGGATTATCTCTCCATCTCAAGACCTTTAACTTAATCATACCTACAAAGTCCTTTTTGCCATGTAAGGCAACATGGTCACAGGTTCTGGGGGTTACGGCATATATACATCTTTGGGGAGTCATTCTTCTGCCTACCACGGCTAGAGCCTGGGGACGAGATGATACAGGTGATGGGGAAGGGTGACCAAAAGGCCAAACTTGACTTGATTAAGGAGGCAGCTGGCGTGCCATTTAATCTGCAGCCTGCAAGCAAGAGCAAAGCCTAGTTTTGGGAAAGGCAGGTTCAAAACAAGGGGGATCTGGGGAGAGTAACTTAATTCAATTTATTTCCCAGGAGCTAAAGGCTGGACAGAAAGGCAAATGAAACCAGCAGGAGACTCACTTCCAGGAAGGAAGACAGAAAAGACTTGGGGTCTCCCCACCGAAGACGATGGGGTCCAAGAGTGAGGGTGGCACCATGTGTGACATTCAAAGAGGTCCCGTCAGACAGACACCTGGTACAGCCCTTCTGTGGCTGCCCAGATGCTCAGGAAAGGACGTAGGAGACCATTTACAAACCAGGCCCCTGACCACTGCCTGTTGTCATAGGGTCTCTCTAACTCCAGCGCCTTGCACAATCATACAGCCCAGGGACGGGCACTCCCCGCTCAGGGAGCTGAGTTTTTACGTATACGCTGCGTCCTTCACCTGGCTGTTCTTCCCTCACCACTCCCACTCTTTCTGAGCTGACTATTCCTGGTCCTTAGATTTCAGTTTCTTGCCAGGAGTCTTCTCTGACTCCTTCCTTCCCTGCCAGAGCAGATCTCTGGACCACCTTGGCTGCGACGCAAACGCCGGGGACGTGAAGGCCATCTTGTTCACCACCGTGTCCCTGATGCCTTGCAGAGTATCTGGCACACAGAGGTCACTTTGTGAATATTTCTTAACACAGATGAGTTAGTATCCGTGCCTCAATTTGCAGAGGACTGTATCATTCATAAAGGACTTCTTTTTTAAGCATCTAATCCTACCAATTTAATGTACTCCTCTCAGTAACTCAAGGTGTGTTATAGTTTTCTGTGTTTTACAACAGTCAAAATGGATGTTCTGGGAGGTTAGCTCACCCCGGGCACACAGATAGTAAGAAGTCAGTGACAGGCCAGGACTTCTGACCCCCTGCCCCCTTCTCTCTCCTTGGCCTGGGGAAACAACCAAGTAGCCTCCACTTGAGAGAAGCACGGCATAGTTTGTTTTACTGTGCTTCACTTCGTTGTACTTTGCAGATGTTGTATTTTTTGCGAATTGAAGGCTGTGGCCACCCTGCATCGAGCAAGGCTACCGGCACTATTTTTCCACCAGCATTTGCTTACTTGGTGTCTCTGTGTCACGTATTCATAATTCTTGCAATAATTCAAATATTTTCATTATTATTATATTTGTTATGGTGATATGTGAACAATGACCTTTAACGAAACTATTTTAATTGTTTTGGGGTACCCCAAACTGCACCTATATATGATGGTGGCAAACTTAACAGTAAATGGGTATGTTTTGACTGCCCCACCGACCCTCCATTCCCCATCCATCTCCCTCTCCTAGGGCCCCCCATTTCCACAGATGCAACACAATTGAAATTAGGCCACTTAATCTACAAAAACCTCGAAGCGTTCAAGTGAAAGGATGAGTAGCAGCTCTCTTGTTTTAAATAAGAAACGAGACATGATTAAGCTTAGTAAGGAAGGCATGTCAAAAGCTGACATAGGGCAAAAGCCAGACCTCTTATGCCAAATATTGGCTTCTTAGCTATGTTGTAGATACAAAGGAAAAGGTCTTCAAGAAAATTAGAAGAGCTACTCCATCGGACACGTGAGTGATAAAGCAAAACAGCCTTATTGCTGTCGCGGAGAGAGCTCGAGTGGTCTGGATAAAAGATCAAACGAGCCATGACATTTTCTTAAGCCGAAGCCCAATCCAGAGCCCAATCTAGAGCAAAGCCCCAACTCTCTTCACTTCTTCGAAATCTGAGAGAGGGGAGGACGCTGCCAAAGAAAAATTTGAAGTTAACAGAGGCTGGTTCGTGAGGCTTAAGGAGAGCAGGCGTCTCCATAACCTAACAGTGCAAGGTGACGCAGCAGGTGCGGTGTTGAAGCTGTAGCAAGGTGTGCAGAAGATCTAGCTTCGAAAATTC